CGCCCGTCGCCCGCTACTGTGTGCAGCCCTTTGCGTAAACCGGGTTGCCCGGACTCACTCAACCCGCCTGTTTGGTTCTGAAGACACCCAGGCAGGAGGAAGCAGACGCTAGCTCAAAATGTTTAAACCTGAATTTTCGGAGTAGCGCCCCCGAGCCGATCTCAGTTGGACGCTAGAGAGCAGGAGTTTAGGCGCCCCGGGGCACTGTCAGAATGCGAAGAGTAATAATAACTCAACAGTCATTGCACCCCACAGACTCTGACCCGAAGAAAACATACGCTCATGTGTGCAGCCGAAGAGTGCTAACAGCCAACGCATGGCACGTCGAACTACAGATCCCACAATACAGCGGGGGGAGGACGTGCCTTTCCTAGGCCTGAAACCCGACTCTTGAAGGGAACGACGCCACGAGGCACGCTGGGATTTGTAGTTGGCTGTTCCTCGTTGAGCCGGAACTTACACCCACCCACCCCCCAACCCGGTGCCACTTCTTAAAGCCCAAACATCCGATTCCACGTCAATAGAAAGCACTAGGATTGCACGTTTTAGAACTTTTTCACCTACAAGACTTATGCTAGCAAAATTCACAGGCTCCGTAGTCTTTGACAGACATTTAGACAACATTTATTGAGTTTCTCTAAGTGCCAGGACCTGGAGGCTACATTCACTCGGACTTCACAGAATTTAAATTTTTATTGTGCTACTTTATTCTGGAGCTCATAAATGAAGTACGTCTTCGGCAAAGAAATGGAGGTAAAAGGGAAGGGGGTGCAACTTGATTACAGTAAGAAATTGCAAATTCTATGTATGTTGTTTATTTAGTTAGTTTGTCATCCACAGATGGAATATTGCCTGGTCTTTTTGGCTTGATTTTGTAGAAATAATCATAATTGCCATGGGTAGCCGGGCGGGGTGGTGCTTGCCTTGAATCCCAGCACTAGGGAGGCAGAGGCAGGCGGATCTCTGTGAGTTCGAGGCCAGCCTGGTCTACAAAGCTACACAGAGAAACCCTGTCTCGAAAAATCAATCAAATCAATCAATTAATAATTGCAGTGGGTTAATGACTACAACTGTCATGTGTCCGGAAAACATCATTTCAGAGCACTCCTCCCCTTTCGAAGGTTCTTACATTATCTCACCCCATCTTCTCTAATTGTTCCCCAGCTACAGGCTGGGGAGTGGATATAGATGTCCCATTTAGGGTAGAGCACTGTCACTGATTCTGCCAAGTTTTTTGGTTTTGGTTTTGGTTTTTGGTTTATCAAGACAGGGTTTCTCTGTGGTGTAGCGCTGACTGTCCTGGAACTCTGATCTGTAGACCAGGCTGGCCTCGAACTCAGAGAAACACCTGTGCCACCGTTTTGTAAATAATGGAATCCACCTCTAGATGGAGACTGTCCATGTCTCCTTCCTTAAGAATTAATCTAGTGAGATAGGGCAGGAATTTGGCTAGAGAAACACTCCAAGGAAGATGGGTTCATAATTAATGTAGTTTTCCTTCCCAGAATTCCCATCTCCAGTGCATTCTCTAGAAGCCAGCATGAAGTGTTCACCTGAGTCTATCTGTTCAGGTCTGCCTGAATACTTATTTTTTCTTTTGGTCTTTTTCTTTAAGATTCTAGTCAGAGCCTAAGTATGCTTTTAAACTCCCTAACTAACGCTCTGAGCTTCCTTGTCCAAAGTTACCCTTCATGTCATGTGGCATGAGTACCTTGCCTGCTGGTCTGCTCTGTTCTCTTCCTCCTGGCCTTTCATGGTTTACAGCTTGCCAGCCCTAGAGGTTTTTCTTGTTCTCGAGCTTCTGTTTGTGTCCATTTTTAAATTCTTTTATTAATGAGACTAAGAACCACCACCACCCCAGGGGTGGGGGGAGGAACCTTGATTTCCTCTGCATCACATAATGGTTCTGCTGGGACTACCCAAGGTTTCTTTCCTGCCTTTTAATTCCTTTTTTTAATCTCCCCTCCCCTTTTTTGAGACAGATTTCTTTGTGTATCAGCCCTGGCTAATTCTGGAACTCACCCTGTAAACCAAGCTGACTTTGAACTCACAGAGATCTGCCTGCCTCTGCCTCTGGAGTGCTAGGATTAAAGGCATATGCCACTACACAGGCTTAATTCTTTTTTTTTTTAAGATTTATTTACTTTTATTTATGTTTATGTGCCTGTGCACCTATGTAAGTTTATGTGCACCGAGTGTGAGGGACAGATGATTGGTGAGCCATTTCACATAGACTCTGGGAACCTAAATTCAGGCCTCTACAAGAGCAGTAAATGTTCTTAATGGCCAAACGTCTCTCCAGTTCCCTGCTTAATTCTTTAATCAGCAAAGAAAAGGAAACTGTTCCTCCACCCCAGACAGCATCCCTTTGACCAGTTATGAGTCTCTGCATTAACTGCTGCCCACTGCAGAAGAAGCTTCTTTGACTAAGCAAGGCTGACAGCAGTGTAAACAAATACTTAAAAGGCATTTTAACAACATATCCATTTAGTAAAACAACAGTCATGGCTTTCCTCTGTGGGACCTAATACCTCCTGAACCGTGGACTTTTATTTTTAAATATATAGTTTATTTTGTTTGCATTGGTGTGATAGTGTCAGATCCCCCAGAACTGGAGTTACAGACAGTTGTGAGCTGCCATGTGGGAGCTGGGAATTGAGCCTGGGTCCTCTGAAAGAACAGCCAGTGCTCTTAACCTCTGAGCCCCCTGAACTATGGACTTTTGACAAGGCTTACTGTAGCAGACATAAATTCCTACCTGTGGAGCACGTCTCAGAGCCAATCAGAAAACAGCTGGTTTTACCTATAACCTCAGTGCCACTATTGCACCAGGGGACACATCTTGCCTAAATCCTGTGGGGTTTCTTTGTTGTTTTTTTTTCTTTTTGTTTATTTTTGGTTTTTCGAGACAGGGTTTCTCTGTGTGCTTTAGAGGCTATCCTGGCACTCGCTCTGGAGACCAGGCTGGCCTCGAACTCACAGAGATTTGCCTGCCTCTGCCTCCCGAGTGCTGGGATTAAAGGCGTGAGCCACCAACATCCAGCTAAATCCTGTGTTTTTAAACAGCCCATTTCTATGGATGTTTTTATTGGCACACTGAGTTAGCTACCTATGAAAACTAACTTTATATTCAATGGAGGTCAAAAAATTCATGTTTTCTTTATTTTTAAAGGAGACTCTTACAAAAAAAAAAAAAAGAGAGAGAGACTCTAACGTTTAGACCTTCCCAGAAAATTTTTTTCTCCAAATTATCCCTTTAAAATTAGGTTTTAAATGAAAAAGTAAAAAGATTTTTAACAGAAGTGATTGGAATTCTAAGAGATCAGTTTTCAAATAAATCATTTGAAATAGTTTTAGAACTAGTCAGTTTCATTGAAAGTGTTGAAAGTTCAAGGTAGGCTGGCCAGCTAAGATATTTCTTACTCTTCTATCAAGTTAATGAAATAGTAAAGCTTAATAAAATAATATTTGTGAAGAGAAATTTCGTACTCGCTTTATTGAAACACTGTTTTTGTCACAGTGAGAGTGCCTGTTTTATTAAAGCACAGTTACAATTTATGGCTGCTAATTCATATTTTATATCCAGTGGCCCTCATCACTGGTTTTTATTATCTCAACATGCATTTACAGTGTTATAATTTCCCAAGGGCCAGAATTACTAAGCCAAGCTACGTAGTAACCCAGTAGACCTCTGCCAAAAGTAGACCAGAATCTATTTGTAGGGTAGACTGGCTTGGACCGTTAAATTAGACTAAAAATCATTTTAGTTACTTTAAAAATCACCTTTTATGAGCACCGGATGACTAATTATTAGCTCCTTGCCTTATGTTCACTGATGATGAGTTGTGATTTTCACTTGGTTATCATAGAGGTAAGAAAAGGGGTAGAAAAATGTTGGCAGAAGCCTAAGGGAACTTGGCTATCTTGTAGGTTTCTTCAACAGGAGCAAAAAGAGTAAATGATTGGAGCTTTGGTGAATTCAGGAGTGGGGAAAACTGCCTTCAGTCTTTAGGATTCAGAAGTGAGGAATGAAAGGAAATTGATATGGTGACGAGCTGGGTATTATTTGATTATTTTATTTTTAAAACAAGCTCTTGTGTAGTCCACATTGGCTTTGTAATCTTTCTGCTTCTACCACCTCAGTGTCAAGGCCAAGCTGGAAGGGGGAGACTTAAACTCACAAAAAGATCAACAATGTAAAAGGTTTACTGATTTAGTGGTCAAAATACTGTTGTTTAGAACGGTGTGGTTCTCTGGACTAGCATCATCTATCTACCCCAGAAACTTCTGGTGTGAGGCCTAGCAATTTGTTTTTACTATTCTAGGAGTGACCCTGTGAAACAATGGAATCCAGGGACCAGAAGGTAATTTGGATTTTTCAAAATGTTTCAGAACCATCCCTTAAGATGACTTAAGGTGAAGTCTGCAATATTACCTATCTATCTATCTATCTATCTATCTATCTATCATCCATCTGTTTATCTATCTATCATTGTGGGGTTTTTTGAGACAGGGTCTCTTTACATAGTCCTGGCTGTCCTGGAACTCACTATGTAGACCAAACTGACCTAGAATTCAAATAGACTTGCCTGCCTCTGTCTCCCAAGCGCTGAGATTAGAGGTGTACAGTACCACGCCCACTTTACAATTTAATTTATGACTTGAGTTTCTCCCAGTGGTTCTCAATCTTCCTAATGCTTCGACCCTTTAGTACAGTTTCTTATGTGGAAAATTATTTTTGTTGCTACTTCATAACTATAATTTTGCTACTGTTATGAATCATAGCGTAAAATGTCTGTGTTTTCTGAAGGTCTTACTTAGGTGACTCCTTTGAAAGGGTCATTAGACACCACCTTCCAAAGGAGTCGCTACCCTCAGGTTGAGAACCGCTGGAAATAGTGTTAGATTTCCTACAGCTGCATGGAAAAGAAAGTGTAGATTGCATCTGGATGGTTTTCCAGGTGGAAAGTATCCAGTCAGTCTTTCAAACTTAGGTTGCAACAATGCTGAAAGCGTTTTTCTACTGTGGTTAAATAAGAGACACAAAAATTCGTTGTTTTAAAACCTTTTGAGTATATAATTCAATCGCACTGATTTACATTCAAGCAGGAAACTGTTTTCAGTAGGGCCTCCCTTCTTAGGGTGTACTGGGTCAGCCAGCCTAGGAGGTGGTGTGGGTCTGCAGCTCCAGTTGCTCAGTGGAGCCGGGGAGCTCAGCGCTGCCCTCTGTCGCTCATCCGAGAGATGGCCGCATGCAGGGCCGCGCGGGGCCAGCGAGGGGAGCTGCAGGGCAGCTTTTCCAGGGAAAGCGACCGGTCGTCCCCACTAGAAGCCACTCTGCCTTTTGTTTGTTTTGCTGCCGGAGGCCGCGGAGCGGCGGGTTCCTGCTGGATGCCACGCGCTGCCGGGTGTGGACTTGCCGGGCTCGCCCGCTCGGATCCCACTGCCCTTGCCTGCCGGGCCCGCTCGAGTGCACGCGCCCCCGGGCTGCGATCGCCGCCTGTAAGTGGGGCTGGGGCTGGAGGGCTGCGCCGCGACCTGTCGCTGGGTATTGGGCGGTACCGGCTGACCCGAGCGAACTCACAGCCAGGAAGGCTAGGGACTGCGGCTTTCTCGGTGGACCTCACGATCCTGTGGGTCTCGTCCCTTTGCCGAGAAAACTCCCGACCCCAGGGCTCCTGATGGGTGTGTTTACCTTTCGTCCTGAAGAAGTGAAGCATCCTAGCCGACTTGAAACCTCTCGCGGGTGGAGAGGATCCGGGTGGGGATGCGGGTGGGTCGGTGCTGGCGACTTGGGCTTACCATTTGCCTAACTAGGCCCTTGGCAGCCCCACAAGGGTCTGAGCAAGAATACTCCACACTTACTCGCAACCATTTTTCTCCAGATTTCCTTCTACTCTGGTTTTTCTTACCACTCCAACCAGAGGTTTGGAGCAAGATACTGAAAGATTTCTTTTTTTTCCAGAACAACCATTTGTTTCTGTGGTGTGAATGAACCTTTTAAAAGTTTGACACTAGCATTTATGGCTTTTACAGGAGGTAAAAATTAATGCACCGTTCTGCAAAGGAGTGTGTTCATTTCCACTTATTACTAAAGAGGAGCTTTTGCTAAGGCTGAAGACGTTCTTCCCTGCATTTTATACACTGGACTGGATCTCTGAGCTATTGACAATTTTTGTATTGTAAATTTGACTCCAGCACTCTTTGTAGTAAGAAGAGTTTAACTGTTAGCAGTTTTCAGCTCACCTATGTCCTGGTGTGTCGGGTCTTCAGGGTGTGTCCCAATAATAAATGGTGCCCTTGCACCATATAAATTTTAAAAGAGCTTTAAATTAGGGTAGTCAACAAGTAAATTATTTGAAAAATCTGTATCTTGACTCTGTGCATAACTGTTACAGGAGTTAATGTATGCATACATATGCACATCAGAAATAGTTTACGAACAAAAAAACAATTTGGTAGATTCTTTCAGGCCTTCCTAAGGGCCTAGGATCATAGAACACTGGGAAGTCAGAGTAGAACAAAGGGCAGTGCTGGGAGTTTTTGGTTTTCCATACAGGGTTTCTCTGTGTTGCCCTGGCTGTCCTAGAACTCACTGGCTGGACTCAAACTCACAGAGATCCACCCGCCTCTACCTCTTAGTGCTGGGATAAAAGGTGTGCGCCACCACCGCCCCACTTGGCTATTCTGGGTGTTTTAAATTTCAGATGACATCCTGGGTCAGCCCCTGCCTCCAAGGCACAACCTTACAGTGCCCCAAACACTTTCTGCCTTATCCCTTTCTTCAGAGTCACACTGGTAGCTGGATGGGAGGAGGGCCGCCTCAATTGTCAGAGACCAACCAGTTTCTGATAATGGAGGAGTGTGCTGTAGGATTCATGGAGCCTGCCTGAGCAAGCAGAGTCCTGCCATCCTTGCCGGGCGTTTATACTAGTCACAAAGAAATCATTTTTCTTACTGAAGTTTCTTCCCTGTATGCCATGATGATTGTTAGCAGGATGAGGAGTTGGCCATCTGGAGTTTGACTCAGTGGCTGCTCAACCCTATCAAAGCCCTTTTCATAGTTTAACTGTTCTATTTCTCCCTCCTCATAGCTCTTTAAGGTTCCTAATAAAGCTGAGGATTGTTTCCATTTTCCAGCATTTGAATTTTATCTTTAACCATCTCCCCTTCGTCCTTCGTATGAGTCAGTCATCCTCTGGAATGTGTTTCATATAGGTCCTTCCCTCCACATCTAATCTATTCCTTGCCCTTCCCTTCCTGCCACTTAAGACACTGTAGCTACTTTGTAGCTAACCTCCCTTGCCTGTTAGTAAGCCCTCATCAAATGTTTGCCCAGGGAGTGAATGAATGAGAAGCTTCCTTCTCTATTCTCTTTATCATTCTGTTGCCCTTGTCTGTCTTAAGTTTTTTGAGTGATCACTTTGTTAGATTTCTCTTGGCCAAGCAGCCCTTAGTTATCTGTCATCTATCTATTATCTCAGTTCTACACCAGTCCATCTGATATTTCAAGGCCTTTCATAATGGACCTCATCCTTCATATCTAAATTCTTGGTGCTTAATGTCTTACTGTGTGGGCCAGACTGTCACCCAAGTGTCACTGTCATATTACTCTCCTTGGAACCTCTCTCTAGCTACACTCTCCTGTGCAAATAGTACCCATCCCTGGGGGAGGATATCTTTTTGTATGTTTGTGAATATGCTCATGTATGTGTGCAGGTGCGTGTATGTGCTGATGCGTAGGGCCAGAGGTCAACATTGGCTGTCTTCTTCAGTCTTATGTCTAGAAACAGACGGTCTCACTGGTTCATTTAGATGACAAGTGATGCACCTCTGTGCCTGGTTTTGGCTTCTGTGTGGGTGCTAGGGATTGAACTCATTCATGCCTTCATGCTTGCACAGCCAATACTTTATCAACTCCCAAGTCCTGTGAGTCCTATTGTTTTTAATTACTCGTTTCTTTTTCTTTTTCTTAAATGGGTTCACTAGCTTGACATTATATTGCTCTCTAATTGGTCTACTTATTTTAAGTCTTTTAGACCTAGAGCCTTATTATGTATGGCAGTGTGTCTGTGGTTTCGGAGTCAGGCAAAATATGGTTGGGCTTGACTTTACTTTTTAATCACATGGCTGTGTTGCATTCTTCAAGCATTACTCTTCTCTTCAAGCCAGTTTAGTGTGAAGATGGTCCACAATGCCTGCTCAGTAGTGGCTGACCAAGTTCTGCTTGTCCCTTCACAGTGACTGGCAGAGTCCTAAACAGGTGGCATACATTTGGTAGATGTGCAGTAGACATTTCATAGATGAGCCTAGAGGAGAGACAGCCTAACCACGCACTGAAAATTCTGGAGCTTACATTATTCCTGGCTACAGCTCTGCTTCTGGAATCTGTTACTATTTTTCCTTCTGAACCTTGCCAGGAACATTTCTGCCTTTTAAAAAAAAAAAAAAAAAAAATCAGCAACCTCTTTTACTTCATTTTGTCAAGTTAAAGATATACCTATCCAATGTATTTATCTGCTTGTGGAAGATGTTTGATTATATATCGTTTTCTTCCTATACTTATTCATTTGTTTTGATTTTTGAGTCAGAGGCTGCAGTGGTTTGAATGAGAATGGCCCCCATAGGCTCATAGGGTTTGGCACTATCAGGAGGTGTGGCCTTTCTGGAGGAGATGTGGTCTTGTTGGAGGAAGTGCATCCCTTTGAGGTTTCAGAAGCTTACTCTTTCTTCCTACTGCCTGCCCATCCAGACATAGAACTCTCGCTACCTCTCTAGTACCGTGTCTGCCCACATGCCACCATGCACCCACCATGATAATGGACTAAACCTCTGAACTGAAAGCCAGTACCAATTAAGTGTTTTCCATTAGAAGAGTTGTTGTGGTCATGGAGCCTCTTCACAGCAATAGAAACCCTACCTAAGACACAGGCTTGCTCTGCAGCCCAGGGAACCAGGTGAGCCCTCAGCCTCCCAAGAGTTGAGGTTGAAAGTGTGAGCCATCACCCCAGCTTTGACTGTGTGTATTTATGCAAGACTACTTACCTGGTGTTTTCTGGATGGAATTCTGGGTATGGTGACCTTTGTGGTTTCACCTCTTTGCCATGTTAGAACACACTGACCAAGAGCAACTTAGGGGAGGAGGGTTTATTTCACCTTACAGGTTGCAGTTCACCTTTAAGCGGAGTCAGGCAGGAACTTGAAGCAGAAGCCATGGAGGAACACTGCTTGCTGACTGGCTCACAGCTGATGCTTCCTAGTTTTCTAATGTAACCCAGGACCACCTGCTCAGGATACGGTGCGGCCCACAGTGGGCTGAGCCCTCCCATATCAACAGTCAAGACAATCCCCTACAGACCAATCT